AAAAAGTGATCCTTTTGACTCTTGTTAAAAACCGCAAGTCCGATTGCTTTGATATTACATATATAGGTACTACATGTGGACCTCTCTCAGATTTGTTCATTTTGTGATGATATCTTCAATTCTCTAATTTTGGTGAATATTTTTGTCATTTTTGGTAAAAAGTGATATTTTCGACTTCTTGTTGAAAACTGTAAGTCCGATTGCTTTGATATTACATATATAGGTACTACATGTGGACCTCTCTCAGATTTGTTCGTTTTGTGATGATATCTTCAATTCTCTAATTAATTTATTTTGGTGAATATTTTTGTAATTTTTGGTAAAAAGTGATATTTTTGACTTCTTGTTAAAAACTGTAAGTCCGATTGCTTTGATACTATTCATATTGTTCATTTTCTAATGATGTCTTCAGTTCTTTAATTGAAATGTGCATTGCTAACAGCGGAGCTATCTCAGCCGATAGGCTGCTTGTTTAAACTTGATAACCGACAGGGTCTATGTAATGCAATTGCTTGTTTTCAACATTGTGATAGAGAGCTGTGAAATACCATAGTGCATTCTCCACATATTAAGATTTCAAATATTACATGGGCTGTGTCAGCACATGAATTGTTGATACTATTTATGCATGAACACTTACAAATATACACTATTGTTTTCTTTTCCAGTTCCAGTTGCGAGAGCTGAGCAGGTTGAGTCATCTTCAAAATGGTTAATACAAAAAGGTATAATTTGCCAAAGTTTCAAGCTACACATGCAGTGTTCTCCACAGGTTGAAAATTTAGCCTGGTGGGCAAAGGCGTGTGGCCATGAGGAAGGGTCCGGAAAAAGTTTTGAAATTTAGATGCAATCTGGGGCGTTTCCCTGGCGTAAATCTCGGCAATTCTTCATTGTAAAATGCACTGGCAATGGAAAAAATCGATAAGATTTTTTTTATCATTTTTAAACTACAAAAATAAATTAAACGCCCGACTGTGCCAGTCTATTGCTTACCTAACTCATTCGTTGACTTGCGTTAATGCCATGTTAAGATTGCGTTAGGACCGAGCCAACACCTCATTAACGCAGGTTAGCTTTGCGTTAACGCAAGCAGCTCATTAACTTTTATAGCTTTGTTTGCATGCAAATTAGGAGAACAATAGTGTTCTGTGTTACGTGATCACATGTGCAACAAAGCTGGTCGAAAAGACTTGGTCTGTAGACTTCAGTATTTGAATTTGGGCGAACGTTTTACATTTTTAATAAAAAATAAAACTACGCATGTCCAATGTGATTTTGATTATATGAAAAATATATAATATAAAAAAATGACTTAGTCACGTTGCAACATAATTATTTAGAATGATACAGTACGACATACAAAGTATCATTTTATGCTTGCGTCGTTGGCAAAAATGTGTGCAATTTAGTTCACGCGCGATTCGGTAAAATACTGACTAACGTAAAGTCATAAAAATTGTACTTCAGTTTTTGTACAAATTCGGTAATCATTGGATGGACCTCAGTCTGTTTCGATGTTAATTTAGTGACAAGATCATTATTTCTCTATTTTTAAAGAATATTTTTGTCATTTGGTACAAAAAGTTGTACATATATTTGTACATAGTTTTTGACTCCCATTGTGTGCAAAGCACACAATGGGAGTCTTTGCAGTTAGTGTGTCTGTATGTATGTATGTGTGTGTGTGTGTGTGTGTGTGCAGTGTTCTCCCCACATAGAACAAAGAATGGCAGCATCGCCATGCTTGGCGACCCGGCCGCCACGCTTGGGCTCGGACCGCCATGCTTACAACTTCACCGCCATGCTAATAGGATGCATTGTTAACGTCCATTTGACCCGCTCACACGTAGCACTGCATAAATTATCACCGTCTACACCACGGCGGTTTGAACTTGCCGGGACAAATTAAACAGTCCCATTGTTAAACACGTGTGAAGTACAGACGCTGTCAATGGGGAACAAATTGTCACTCAAGTTGCAAACATCGAGATGCTATATGACAAAACATGTAAAGGAAAAAAAGGTGATGCCGCCCGGCTGAAACGTACAATCACCGCTAGCACAGCACAGAAACGGAAGCGTGTAGAAACACAGAAACGGCGTGAGGCTGGTTTTGATGAGTCGTGGAAAAAGACATTTCCCTGGTTAAGGTCAATTGTTCAGGTAAGATTTCGTAATTTTAGAAATAAAATGCCAGTGTGTGTTGTTTTGCCGATCGTAAGAACACTGAACAT